AGCAGCAACAACCGCAAGCATACCAGCAGTAACAACCGCAAGCATACCAGCAGTAACAACCGCAAGTATACCAGCAGCAACAACCACAAGCATACCAGCAGTAACAACTACAAGCATACCAGCAGTAACAACCACAAGCATACCAGCAGTAACAACCGCAAGAATACCAGCTGAAGCAACTACAGGCCTATCAACAACAAGACCAAAAACATCTACAATAAGGACCGGTAAATTAATACCAGTAGATGTAAAAGAAGAAGACCCGCAAGTATATCATGTAGATGATGATGAAAGTGAAGGTAAGAGTGAGGGTGAAGGTGAAGGTGAAGGTGAAGATGAAGGTGAAGGTGAAGGTGAAGATGAAAGTGAAGACGAAGGTGTAGTGCAAAAAAAAGTTAAAGGGAAACGAAAAAGGAGAGACGAAGATAAAGGGAAAGAAAAGAAAAAACGAAAAAAAAGCCGATAAATAAAAATATTTTATAATTTATTGTTTTAATATATTGATGTATTAGCAAATAAACTAATAAATATTAAATCGGCTAATATAATATAAAATCGGCTAATATAAAGTTAAGCATCTAATAAATGAATATTAAAGGGTGTGGTGCCCTAGAGAAGTGGTCAAGATGTCACTCTCCAAGTGGCAGATTGATAGTTCGAATCCCACTAGTGACGTTTTGGAGTTAAATCTGTGTTCAGTAATTGTGGCTTCTAATCGGTTGGGCTTAAAATCTGTAATCCTGGTTCCACCATCTTGAATGGGAGCTTGCAAGCGCAATGATGTAGGTACTACGTCGCAAATCCAGGAAACCAGAAAAAAACCCAAAAAACCTGTTTGGCAAGTCTCAAGTTAGGAGGTAGTGAAAATCGGTCCATATAAGTATAGGCCAAAAAAGAAGGCTGGTACTACAATTAGAACAAACCTAATAAGAGCAGGTAGCTTCGGTTACTAAAATCCGGCAATAACTACATGTTTGGGACATGGAAAGTTGTTCGATAAGTAGTTGGTACAAGGGTAAAGTAGCCCTTAGGCCGTCGAAATAAAAGGGTCGGGCCTGGTATATCTGCAATATATAGTGAATCAGGTTAGTAATAGAAGGATCGTAAGTTAGAGGGTTTAAATAGGCAACTTCCGTAGTTGGGTTGTAGGTATGGCAGCTAGTGTAGAACCTTT